TATTATTTATGTGCTTTTTCTGTTATTACATGTCAAAATGTCTTCTGTGTAATCTGAACCTTGAGTTAGGTGAAAAAAAAAAACCCCAAAAAACTGCCTAAAATAAATAAATCCATTAATATTCTTTATTTATGTGAGCTTGTTTGGTTATTTTTTCTGTGAGAATAAACTTTCCTCGGCCACCATGTGATCCTGTCTCTAATCGGATTCTGTTCCTGTAAGGATCCTTCCAGCAGAGAAAGAGAGTGAGAGAGAGAGAAAGAGAGAGTGAGTGATACAAGAGGAGAATGAGGAAATGCTCCGGTCAGAAATACTTTGAGCCCACTGGATGGAGCTGCAACGACACTCCACAACAGAGAAACCCACTCTAACCAGAGCTAACCAAAAGATTAAAGCACAACCAAAACATTTAGCTCAAAGCAACTGAAACACAGCCACCATGCAGATATTCCATATCTCTTACTACATCTGTCGTTTAGGTTACTGCAGTTATTTTAAAAGAATAATGTGTATGTGCAAAAAACTTTGGAGGTTGATAAAAAGACAGCAAAAGTCAAGATTAAACTTTAATTTTGTATTATTTATTTGAGAAAATGTTATGTATTTATAGATGGAGCTGATAAATTTAGTAATTACCCCCAAAATGATGGGATATTACACTGCAGTAGGACAGAAAATTTGGTGTTTTTATTAGATAACTTACTTGGATTAAGACAACACAAGCCGAACGCTTGATCTGAAAATAAACTGCTAATGAGTGTAACATAAACGGCTGAACGGAATGTGAACTTAATGCCCTGCTATTTTTTTTTTCTCCTTTCCTCAATTTTCTAAGTTTGAATTCTTGACACTCTCCACCTCCACTGCAAAAAAATAAAAGACAAAGTGTTGACCCAGACTTAAAATGTTAGTTTTAATATAGTTTTGCACTGTTGATGACTCCAGATACATTTATGAGCATTAGCCAACAAAGCAAACCAAAGTCTAGCCCAAACAAACTGGAATGAAAGGCAGCCTTTGATCCTCGGCCGACCGTAGTGACTTCAGCACTTCAGCTCGATTGTTTTCAGCTGAGGTTTCTCTGGGTGGCTTCACTTCAAGCTACGACTGAAACTGCCGGAACAGGATTTACTCATGGTTTAAGAACCACAAAGTTGGCTCACTGAAAAAAACTCTCAGCTTAACCAAATAAAACGCTTATTCTCAGAGTTGTCGCAAGTAGCCCCTCGAGTTATTGTTATATAGAATGACAAAAGCTCTAACTTCACGTCTTTGTGCAAAGTCTTCACAGTCTTCTCAGGCCTGTGCTGTCATTTCACACCACTGCCGGCTTTATGTTGAAGCTACGACAGCTCACATTCCGTCTGATCATAGTTGTGTGTGACATTTCAAAGAGGATTATGAGAATGAAATGTGATAAAAACTATTTTCACGTGACCCCTGAGCACTTGACCTCTGATAGGCTAGAGCAGCGTAGCACCAAGGTTCAGACTTCTGGGACTTGCATGTTGTGTGCAGTCCGTGCTTATAGAGAGTCACTGAGGTGATCGCAAGAAAAATCCAATGCGCTGCAACAGGACTATTATTCTATATTATATAACGACGAAACTATGAGTCGGGACAATAAGATTCTGATTCTCTGCCAAAAACAACAAACATTCAGAAACAAGAAATAGCAAATGCTCATCAGCAGTAAAACTAGATGCAGTATCAAGCATAGCCCACCATACACACACTCCTCTCTTACACACACTCCTCTCCACTATTAATATATTATTGTGTATTTGTTACTTGTGGCCAACATAAATAGAGTTATGTGCTTGAACATGTTGACAAAGCAGCCATGGCTCATTGGTGGTTGATGGATGGCCGTGTGTGCCATGCTAATTATTAGTACACATAAAAGGATGCTGTTATTTCCAGACCTGGCCCAGCGGGTCCCAGCCGGAGGGGTCACTGGGTAAATACGGAGCCATCAGTCTGCGACTATATCACTCAATCTTGATGTATGAGCAAAGAGGTACAAATTAAACGTGCAGCGACCTTCTAGGGGGGTACTGCACTCAACAGGACGCCATTTGGGCTAATTCCTGCATGGGGTTCAGACAATAGGCCACTATACCACATGGTGTAATTACTTTGTGTACACACATCTGGAATTAAGCTCCCAGAGGAAGCTAATACACTTAAAAAAGAAAAAGGGGCCAACCATTTTAGATGTGCAAAATTTAGTATGTGTGGGAAGAACAAGTGGAGGGAGTGTGCGAGTGTGTTATGTATGTGTGTTTGTGTGTTTGATGGTGGGGGGCGGGGGTTGACTTCAAATGTAGATGCTGATGAACATACGCTAACTCTTGACCTTCGCATGTCATCTGCTCAAAGTTAATCATTGCCGTTGAAACGAGGAGAAAAGATCCTCTTTGAGCACTGAGCTCAGAAGATTACATGTCATACATACAGTATCCCTCAAATCTCTCGCTTGCCTTCTATTTTCCCTCTTCTCTTATAGGCTCCCAGCTCCGGTTACAGCCATCTTGCTTCGATTTGACAACGTTACAGCCCCACTTTCCATACCAATCCTATCTGTGTCATTTTGACAAACACAGGCAGAGAGATGTACCATGTAGGGGGGCTCCAGATTCTGGTTGCATCTGGATTTTATAGCAGCACAATTTTCTCGTGCTGGTGGGCTGCTCAGATTGGATGTGATGAGCTGCGCTGGCTAACATGGAGCCTGTGTGAATGTCAAGTTGCGACTGATATTGATATTGATCCACAGGTTGAGACCATTGCTGAGCATCAGCCACGACACGGTATGAGGCAGGCAGAGAGCATGAATCTGCATCAGGACGTAAATACTCAGGACATTAGGGAGGGGGATTAGATCTGACTGCTGGTATTGTCTTGAAAATGTGGTCAGTTCTGTCTTTCTTAGTCATTAGCAGGGATTATCGTGCCTTTTGTGTTCTTGTGTATACTGAGTTACAAAGTGTGTTTCCTCGCCAGCCTTGCTTTACTTTGAGCGTGAAACTCAAAGCCGCTTGTGGAGCTTAACAAGTTCGAAAAGTATTTTAAAAGTCGAGTACAAATATTTATAACTTTATTGATAGTTTACTTGTACAAGATGTACATTCATATTTTGTGAATCAAAAGGGGGAAAACAAACTGTACGATGATTCATGTTTAGGCATGCTTGCATATGAAATGATAATCATTTTTAATGGGTACAACAAATTCCATGGAGTATTGTTCAGTTCAACCATCCCTGAAATGTTTGTAAACTCGGACACGCTACATTTTTTTTTTTTAGGCAAACAATGCACTACAGCCACACCTCCTAATTCAAATTCAACACTTAAAAAAACATACAAAAATAAATGCAAAGCCATGTAAAAATGTACACTTGTAGTTCAACTATTTCATCTTTCATAAACTTTCAGACAAAATAATAAATAAAACACCAATATGTTTAATTTAAAATGGAGACATAGATAAACAATTCTAAATGGAGGTCTGTTAACAGAGAAAATGTTTTTTGGAGACTGTTAGAGGTACAAAGATCTTAAACAGATCTACATGTTTGGCGCAGCTCTGACAGCAGTGTTTAAAAGGTCAAAATAATCTTTGAATTCCAAAACAATCCAAATGTTCTGTTGTTGTCCGGAACAATTTGTAAAATACAGTCTGAATTACTTGGAAATGAATAGTGAAATGCCACGTATAACATGCAGAATTAAGCTAATCATATTGTAAACAACTGCTTGGCTTGGTTTACAATACTGATTTGATGATTTTATTCTGAACATTTCCCAATATCCAAACTTAAATTGATTTCTGTAATGTAGATGGAGGAGATTTTTTATTTAATTATTAAGAACCCAACCCTAATTTCTGCAGCATCCAAAAATGTGCTCATGTCTTCCTCAACAAGTGACAACTGTACCTGATGTAAACAAAACTGCTTGAATACACAGGAGGTGGGATATGGCACCTGGTAATGAGTGACTTTTCTTGAACTCAATAAAATATACACTGCTGTAGAAAAACTGGCGTGTTTGGCAAAGAAATTCAACACTCCGACAGTGCATGAAAAAACAACAGAAAGAAATCATTGGGTCTCTTTATCGTTGAGGATTAACTGCTAGCTGTTTTTACTTTTTTGCTATTTACAGTATTGCACTTAAACTGCACACCATTGCATTTCAGTTTGACTGATGCTTTCTTCTTGTTTTCAGAATTACAAAAAAAGAGAAGAAAAAGAACGCATTTATACCCTTTATCCAAAGATAATGTCCTTTTTGCTGATCACATGACAATATCAAATCCCCCTCCCCCTTTTAATTAGTAAAGTAGTATCTGCTTGTAGTGCCATTTGTAAACACCCACATACGAGACCTGAAGTGCAAAGGCTATCTTCACTTCTTTACCCAGGATACAACACAACAAACAGAAAGAAATAAAGACAGAGAGAGAGAGAGCACGCTGTGAGGAGATAATGCAATACCAAGTCTCGCCGACACATGCCCAGCAACTCAGAGTAACGTCTCTCCCCTCTGCAGCAAAGGAAAAATTAGTTGTTGCTTTTGTTATAGCACAAGTCCATAAGAAGAAGGATATCAAACCGTAATGGAGACCTTTCTCTTTGAAGGTGTGGGGGGACAGGGGCGGGGGGTTGTGGGCATGTAGAATGGCAGTGTTAAAAAAGTTGTGGAGCGTTTATGTCAGGTGTGTATGGAGGCCAGTCCCAGAACGGTCCTCCATTAGAGCTCATGCAGTTGGCAGCAGCAGGGAACACAGTGGTTGGAGACAAACATGGCCTTTTTTTTTTTTATGTTTTCTTTTTTCTTCGTTTTTCTAGTGAGGGTGGGGGCAGAACAGAGGGTGGGGGCAGAACAGGGGGTGGGGGGTGGGAGGTCAGGGGGCGGGGGGCGGGTTTGGGTGTAAAGGTGAGAGCCGTTCCAATGCCTCGGTGAGGTGGTGTTTGGGTCTCCCCCCCCCCATGCTCAACCCTCTGCATTGTCAACATGGCGGCAGCCAGCGTCAGCGAGGCTCTGCTTTTTGGCCCTGCTGCTGCCCTGCCAGTTTGCTTTGTTCTAACGTCTTCTGGTCTGACGGGCCCCGGCCTGGCCCTCAGACAGACATCCACATGTGTTTGTACGGTCCTTGGGATGTGATCTGTGCCTGGAGTGGACTGAGCCACTGGCCCCGCAGAAGTCCTGCCTGTTGGGGCGAAAAGTAAAAGGTGATTTCATTGGTATTTAATTACCGTTCTCTACAAGTGGTTTGTTTTGGCAGCTGGTTTTGTGACAATTTTCTCGCTCCCTCCTTCTTTTTTTTATTTTCTTCCTCCACTGTTCTCCCCCTCTCTCTCTCACACACACTCTCTCTCTCCCCCTCTCTCTGTATGTGTTCCTCTCTTTCATTCTCACTCAGTGTTTTTGTTTAGTTTAGTTTTAGCTGTGAGTGTCACGGCCCTTTCACAGGCTCAGTCTTGTGTGAGAGGCGATTATGGGCATCAGGCGAGCGGAGGGGCAGCCCGGTGGGGTCAGAGTCCCAGAGCTTCGGCGTGTTTTCTTGCCTTGAGTCGCAGGTCGGCGATGCTCGAGTTCTTGCTGTTGCTTTTGGCAGCCGCCGCCACCGCCGCCGCTGCAGAGGCCGAGTCGGCGAGTGATGCGATTGGTAGTCCGAAGGGAGGGGGCGGGAACATCAGGTAGGGAGCGTGAGCAGCCAGGTGAGGGTGCAGGTGGGGGTGGGAGTGGGTGACCCCGTCCAACTGGAGCTGGGCTTGGACCTGCAGAGCAGCAAAACACAAAGTTAGTCATCGTGGGAGCCTCAGGCTGTGTGTGTGTGTGTGTGTGTGTGTGTGTGTGTGTGTGTGTGTGTGTGTGTGTGTGTGTGTGCGTGTGTGCGTGTGTGAAGAGGGTTTAGGATTTAGGTTTCACAGTCTGACACTATTAAATTCTCCTTCAAATTTTACCCCCTCAAAGCTGTTGCTTACAGTGTGTTTTCTAAGAAAATAGTTAGGGGCTGCACTCTGCGCTTTAGCCCTTTTTTCATGTCAGCTATTCTAAAAGTTAATGAATCATACATTGCTCTAAGACACCACATCCAATTTAATCGTCTAGAATCAAAGTCTTTCTAGGACCCAGAACAGATTTGTTTAATTCAGACTGAGGACTCCGTTATACCCTTGGAAATATGCAGTCTTGTTATCCTGATTATGTATTCAATTGCATAAATAAACAATTTTGCACTAAAAAGATATTCACATATTTGGAGTTATAAATATTTATCCAGACATATTCCTGAGTCAAGGGGAAAAAAAGAAACCATAAGGAGCATAGAATATCAGTTTTCACATTCTTGGCAATTATTTTATAAGAAGTAGGTGAAAATTAAGCATCCACTCACTTCAGAGGGAGTGAGCTGAGCCTGTTGCCATTCCTCATGTGTTTCAAACACCACAGGAAGAAGTGGGAAAACTCAAGCACTTCATGCTTTCTTCTCCAACCAAAATAGAACGATTTAAAGTCAAAGTTTTAACTCGACTAAATATTATTTCTGCACTTTCCCTCCTTTCATATTGGCCTAAAAATACCGAAAATGACTCGGGTTGAAGTTGGTAAATGAAAGGGAAAATTAATTTGAACCACAAATGTATAGTTGCTCAGCAGCACTGCAATGGCATCCAAACACAACCTCCTGCAAACAACAAGCGTTTCCACATATCTCATTTACCAACAATCAGGTAACAAACTGCAGCTGTGGCCGATAACTTCCAAATGTATACCGCAATTACGTCTGATTCAAATGTACAAGCGCTGATGGAAAACCAATTTAACTTCTGGAAAAGTTGATTTTGTGGAGCGTTTGAGGGACAGGACAGAAACTGATCCATCCCTGGCAAAACAGGGGGTGGACATTTGACGTGGTTGCGCATTAGGGTGCGTGTCCTGTTTATATCCTCATACACACTCACAGCTTGCGTAGTCTTTTGTATATTAGGATGATTTTGGCAGTTTTTCTTTACTTGTTGGTTGATACTGAAGAAGGATGAGAAGGAGCCACATGACACGAAGCTTTGGAGCCAGATTCAATCCTCAGACCTTGCAGTTATCCACCAACCGAACCACTAACCATTCACTTGTTTTATATGCTGCATTGTAATGCCAGCGCAGTCTGTGTGTGCTGCCCACTGCCTATTTCCACCTCAAACAGCGAGCCTATCTCGGTATGCAGGCCTCAAGCCTCCACCCCTGCCAGTGTAGCTCAACGCCAATATCCATCAGAGCCCACTCCATTCCCCACTTTCATCATCTCTTTTATGTGCTCGCGCCTGCCGCACTGTTGGCTTAATTAGGCCGCCGCTTTTCACGTGGGTCAAGCAGACAAACAAAGCAGCCGGGACGCAGAAGCAGATAGCAAGCAGATCAAATGTCTGTCCACCTCTCCTCTCCCTGTACAGCCTGACCCCTCTCCACACAGCCAGGAGGTGAAAGGTGCACTGAGGTCTGAGCTGCCCCCCTCCCCCTCCAACACACACACACACACACACACACACACACACACACACACACACACACACACACACACATAGTCTCTCATCACTCGCATCTAATAGCTGCACATGGTCTATAGATTCATGTGAGTGTACATATATGGGCTTGTTTTGTCTCTGATTCCAGAAACACACACACAAAGCTCCAGCTTAAACAATTTGACCTATTTATTTCAGATTGCTCAGTCTTCACCCCTGCTTTACAAGATGCTGAGTAATCAAAAAAATCCCTGAATTTTTTACTTTTCTACATTTTATTCTGCCTGAGTTTGCACTCATGATTGGATGTTTCTAAAGATTTTAAAGCTTTGTCAGCTCCTGCTAATACAAGAACATGGCCTACCTGTTGGAAGGGCATCCGGAGGGCGCCCATATTGACATAGGGTGCTACTCTGCATGCGTCGAGGTGACTGCCGCCGCCCAGAATAACACCTGGAGAGAACGGAAAGATGTCTGTCAGACAGCCAGACAGTTGTTGTTATGTGAGATGAGGAGGTCACAGTTTTTCCACATGCAGTTAGAATTGGTGTCAAATTGTACTCAACTAAAATAAATCAAAAGAAAAAAGAAAATATTAATAAGATAATTCAAAAAGGTTTTACCTTTGTGCATCTGGTTTTCTTGTTTTCGACATTTTGCTCTTCTGTTCTGGAACCAGACCTATAATTGAAAAAGCAAATGATCTATAAGAAAAGAAAAAAATACTGAAAACAAATAGTGCTAAATCCAGTTTTTAACAAAAAATATAATTCATGACATTTCTATTTTTATATCAGATGTTATTTTAATTTTAGTTGTAATTTATGGGCAGGCCACTTATTTGTAACCAATAAAAAGAAATCACGGGTAGGTTACACATGATGAAACAAACGAAATGTTATTTGGTTATTTGTACAAAAAATAACTATAAATTGTTGCAATGAAAAAACAAAAATGTATTTATAGGATATGAGTAAATATTTATTTATAGGATATAAAGAAAGAAAGTTGAGAGAAAACCACAAGCTCGGTATAAACGTGATATTCAGCTCTACAGTAAATTATTAAAGGAACATTGTGGTGTAATAAAAAAAACAACAAAACTGTTATAAAACCAGCATTGAGGAAGCTGCCACCACTTCACAGACCGCGTAGGAATATTACAAGAATATGATGATATATATAAAAACACAGCCCTTCGTTAACCACCTTCCAATTTGCTGACTGTCTTTGAAGCTGCAGGCTACGGCCTATTGTTAATCATCATCAACCTAATTTGCCTCGGTGAATAACATTATCTCCCCTCCCCTTCGACCCCGCAATGATTATCATTTACAGATGCGAAATTAGCGGTTGGTCGCGGACCACAAAGGGCGCAGACTGACGAGGATGATGACTCAAGGTGCCGTGGAGCCATTTTGAGCTGCGTGGATCCGCGCTCAACATCGTGTCGATGGGACTGCAATAACAGGCCAGTCGATAAACTGTCCATTAGCGACTGAGACAAGCAGTGGCCTGAAACTGTGACCTGAAAATAAAAATCTATTGTTCTGTCTTTGAAAAACTGAGCCTACGAATATAATTGCAAACAAACGTGTCAATATAGAAACGTTATTATTTCATTTATATAATCTGAGATAATCTTTACATGTATCAATTCAATTCAATTCAATTCAATTATTATTATGATTATTATGATTATTATTATTATTATTAAATTGTCATGAATGTATAGGCGGTGAGTTCTCAGCACTACAGCGGTAAATGACGGTAGAAAAGGTGTTTGTGAGAATCCCAGGTGATTTTGCATAGACGCACAGTAATCCCTCAGATAAATCAAGGCTAATATTAGACGGGCCCGAGATCAATTCCAATTACGTGCCAGTATGTTAAGCAAAGTGAACTACACTGGTTCAGACAGTTATTTCTTCATTAAGGGCCACTCAATGATGCGCTTCACAAATACCCTAATCTCATTTCCTTTTTGATTTTTTAATAGAGACAGTGAATAATGACATTTAATTTAGCAGCGCGCCAGAAACCCAAAGATATTAGTCCTAACTGAATTACTGCCTGCTCCTCACCAAGCTCTCATAACTTTCAATTAGATTCATTGACAGCTGCTCGGAGCGTGCTGGTCCACAGCCTGCAACAGCCCTGCTGAAATCCCCCCCTCTCTCTCTCTCTCTCTCTCTCTGAACCTGGAGAAAATCCTGTCCCCGTGCCTGAAAAAGGGGGCCTTAAAAAATACTTCTTCTTTTTTAATGCTTTATTTTTCAGGGAGAGTCAATCAACGGGCTCTGCCATTTTATTTCCCATCAACCACAGCCAGGCTGTTATCAACTATATTTACACCATGAATTATTTGAATGCGCTATAATCTGTATTAGTGAGAGTTGCAGTGTTATCCCGCACTGTCAACTAAGTCCGACAATGTCCAGCTCCAAATGGTAGTCGGTGGGCTTATAAAGCTCTATGATGGCTCTTATTCATCCGATTAGATAGCTGAACAGCAGCAGAGTTGGGCCAGAATTGAGTTATTTCTAATCTGTTTTTATGGGGACACTACATCAAGCCAATGGCAGATATTACAAAGAAAATGAGGAGGGATACGAGTTGACATAAGAGCGCGTCCCCTGAAGCAGCCATTCAGGCTCTTCATTCATTTTAATCATTGTTGGAATTTTTTTTTTTTTTTTTTGTCCCCCAAGGCTGCTGGGATCGTAGGAGTAGAGGCTGCTGGCTCTACAGGCCTACTGCTGCAAGTTCAGGAGGTTGTTCCATCCCGGATGATTTACAGCAGTTTACACTTGTTTGATATCACTGACTGGTGCTAACCCACCGTCTGTAAAACTATAGGCTGCACATCTAATGTGTCCTTATTTTAACTGTTACAGCACAGAAGGAACGGGCACTTTGGTGAAATGTTCAGTTTAAACAAGAATTCATTTCAAGCTACAAGCCAGCGAATCCTAAAAGATCCACAGTGATGGTGCAGACATTTTTTTGCTGAATTTTATACAACTGTCACAGTGAATTTGAAACTCCCGGAATATAAACCCACAACAAGGAGTGAAAAATCACAGATTGTGATAAAGTTACAATAAATTCACGATTGATCACCACACTTAACAGATTCCCTTAGGAATATTGTTAGAATATTTTAGACTTGAGGCTGCATCATTTACCTCTCAGGCCTGCACACTAAGAGCTCTCGACATTTTGCCTATTTATTTATTTTTTTGTTACACATTGCAGTAATACACAATGTATTCTATCACAAAAGAAACATCTTGCTTTATAGTCATTTTCACATGCTGGAAAACATGATCAGCATGATCAAACGCTGCACATTGGATTATTAATGAAGAAAATAAAAAGGGAGAAATAAATGCACCGCTGTGTAAACAGTAACAATATTTTCTCACACTGTCGTGTTTTTAAATTGTTTTAAAAGCAAATTTTTAAAGATAAATCCATAAAATCTTTTTCACGTGGCTTTTGTCTCTTAGTTGTAGCAGAGCTTGGTTGTGGCATAAATCAAGGCCTGACTAGATCATTAACTCCCACACAGATTCACCCACACCTCCTGTATGAGAACTGCAACGGTCCTGTAAAGATCCTAATATCACTTTAAAACACCAGGCACACTACCGGTCCCTGCAGGAATATGAGGAAAACATCTATTCTTGTTTGTAGCTCACACAGCAGCCCTGGCCGGTGTGATAGTCGCTCTGGATCAGTGAAGTGTGAGGAAGAAGAGAGAGGGGAGATCCTCACCTGCACTCTGGCCTCGGACAGTCCCAGCCGCTGGCTCAGCTCCTCTCTCATGAAGGCGTCCGGGTAGTGCGTCTCGTCGAAGAGCCGCTCCAGCTCGTTGAGCTGCTCCAAGGTGAAGTTAGTGCGACTCCTCCGCTGCTTCAGTTTGCCCTGTGCATCCTCGTCCTCCGACTTCACGTCCTCCTTTTTCTCCTTACACTCGTATATCCCTGTTAAACGACCCACGGTTGGGGGGGGAGAGGATGCGTTCAAAATCTCCACTTTCCTGGAGGAGCCACATAAACACACACACTATCCGTCTCTCTCTCTCTCTCTCACCCTTATCACACGCTCACATTACTGGCCCCCCATAGCCTACACAGGGCCCTGTCAGGGGCCTAAGGCCTGGCAATTTGGCAGCAACACACACATTAAACCGCCTATATCTTCAAGAGAGAGAGGGAGAGAGAGAGAGGGCCTGTGGCTGCATTTCCAGCTTCCATAAGTCAGTGTGTAATGTCAGTGCCGGTATAAAAGCGAATCCGTCAATACATGGCATGTAAGCCTAATAAGGGTATAAGCGATTTAAAGGGCAGAGAATTAAGCCCCGGCTAAACGGAGAAGATTTAGGCCTAATTACTCGCCTCCGTAAAACAGACAGGTTATTTCAGGCTATAAATAAAAAATGCTTCTTTCAACCGGAAACCTTAACATTTATTTTTCAATTGAAACCTTAAAATGTCTGTATTTCACACAGTATAACACACTGCAAGGCTGTCAGTGCAGGCTGTTCTATGTGTCTTTTTATTGTACTATTAGGTATAATCAGTTATTATTAGTAGCAGACGCAGTTACTGGACCTCTTTGGTCCCATTTTGGTGATTGTAGTTCGCTGACGGGAAAATGTGATTTTCCGCAGCTAAAGGTAATTTAATAGGCTATTATATACAATGTTATGTAAAATGCTTATCAGATTAATCCAAGACACACAGGGTCGCATGACACACAGTCTTCCCCTATTAGCTTCCATTAATTAAAAGGGGGGGAAAAGGCAGAATAATGCAGCACACTTTTCTTTTTTGCTCCTGCAGGATAAATATAGAAACAAGTTAAAATTACTCAATAAATGTCTAAAACTCTGGCCACTGCACAGCATCTGACTGCTGGGTGAAAAGAGGCCTGCTCTGCTGCTCCTCTGTACTTTTGAACCAATTTATAAATGACAGGCTCCTCTGAGGAAGATCCATTTTTAAAGAGCGTGTTTACTGGCACATTTCTCCATTTACAGGAATTTAATATCAGACATGGTGTGACTTTCGTCTTAAGGAGTATGACTACCCTGGAGGCTATAGATTATTAAGGGAGCACTACATCACATTAGTATTGCAGTTCAACTTTTAAATAATGCCAAACATAATATAAAATGTCCTCCAGAATTCATTTAATACTGTAACAGATAAAAGAAAATAAAGTGGGGTAGTAAGGATTTCCATACACTTTATAATGCATCCTCTTGGATTATTAGAGTTGTAAATATTTTCGTGTTGGCAAAAAAATTTGAAATTGCCCTTAAATTGGGATAAACTCAGTATTAAACACCGCAAATAAAATGAAAATCTATTATAAAAAATTATAAGGAGAATGATTTTTTTTCGTTCGGCCAAAGACTGACTGTCTGAAAACAATCATCAAATAGTTAAAACGACGGTCAGACGAAGGGCCCGCCTCCTGCTATGTAAAATAATCATTGTAACGACAGAATAACGCGTTAACTTTCTAAATCTACTGGAACTAAACGCGCACCGTTGCGCAAACACAACTCCTTTGATTTTACGCATGGGTTTGTAAGGATTTAGGAACAACTGAAACGTCGCTCAACGATACAACACAACTGAACTTGAGACATTTTCCCCGACACAATACGGAGCATTTTCTTCCAATTACAATAAATAAAATAAAAAAACCCTTACCCTCTGTCGACCTCGAAACATTAAAGTCCTTCAGTTTGTCCTTTTCCAGCTCGACATGGTCCTTGAACAGATGCACCGGGCAGTGGTTGCCCTCCGTTATGTCCTGCAGGTTTGTCTCCGGGCTGCCCAGCTCCCTCGCCCTTGACAAGCCGCTCTCCAAAACTTCCCTGTACGTGATACTCTCTTTGCTGCTCTCCTTGGTTTTCTGATCGAAAGATTTCGACACGAATGCCGTAAGTTCTTCCATGGTCGGCTCTGTCGCTCAGTAGTGGTCCTGGTCAGGGAAATCCACCGTGAATTCTCAGCATATATGTACCTTACCGTCTTCTATATAGTGCCAGCACTGCTCACGGATACGCTCTTTTTTGGAGGCTGGCAGCAGCGATAGATAGAAGGGGTGGAGAGGAGGTGAGATCACTCCTGCTGTTGTGACTGTGTATTTGAGAGCACACTATTTATACACGGCCACCTCAGCCCAGCCCCCCCCACCCCAACTCCCCCCACCACCACCCCTCTTCCCCCGATCTCTGTGTCTTGAGCAATTACAGGCCGGCTCGACTTTTGCAGAATTCAACTTTCAGCAGCTTTTTTTTTTTTTTTCTCCTTTTTCCACAAATCAATGATGGAGCTGATGGAGGCGGTTAATTGAATTACGGGGTCATTAAAATGCCCACGGTGGCTCACTCCTGCGAGGAGGCTGTATATGGCTGTTATGTCTAATTAATTCGGCGAAAATTTAATTAACGCGATTAGGAGATACAAATGCTGGGTTTGTGGCATTGCCTCGTGATTTTTTTATTTTATTTTGGTGTGTATGTGTTTGTTGACTTGACAAATATAGTAGAAAGCTAATCTGTGCAGGACTCGGTCCACGAGCCACCCATAACCTCTGGTGTATCAGCTGATTGGATTTATAGCCCTCTAATGTGGCGTTAGTGCAACGGTTCTCTGTGTACTAACGCAGCCAACGGTGTCAAATCAGAATTTAAAAAGAGGTTAATTAATTGGAAAAAAAAATAGAGACTTGCTCAATTTTAATATTTAGAAACATTACAACAGACTTCAGTTAATATCAGTACAATTTAATTAGGCCCCAACCCTTTTATTTTCCAGTAATTTTACAAGATAATTCTAATTTTAGAGGTATTTTCAGCTCTCCCTGCCCTCTGTAAACATGCATATGAACATGAATCTAAACGCAAAGTGTAAATCAAGAGAGAAAGTAGCCAGTGTTTAACAGCAACAAATACATTATCGTGGGATAATACTGTAATTAGTATTTGGCTGTTATAAATTCGAGTCTCCTTTGAGTATTCACTTGTAATCCTTTGTGGTTTCCGGTTACAAATATGGGCAACAAATCAATAGATATCAGCAGTGAAAAAATGTTCCCTCTATTTACAGGATTTTCATGGGAATAAGTGAGCCCATAATGGCTTAACGTTATCTAAGTCGTTCATCAGTCCAGCACACAAACACAAAAGGCCGGGAGAGGAGTGTGATCCCCTGGGTCCGCCGCCCTGAGCGGCCCGCCACTGTGAAAGTCTCATATCTCAGCTCTCTAATGACTCGGTTTGATGTCTCTCCATTTATCAGTGAGCCCGCTTCACATCACTGCGGCTGACGCACAAGTCGAGGTCTCTCCCTTGTGCCATGAACTGCGCCTTTTGTTGTTAATAGACCTAAATCCTCTTTAAGGCGCAAATCTGCGCTCCCTGTCGTGTGCCTCGATATCACCCCGCAATAAAGTGGCGTTTACAAAAAGGCACACGTGCGTGTAACGAAATAGCCTAATCCACCAACAGGGGCTTCTTTAAAAATGAAATTAAAGGAAATGTCTTTACTTTTACGCACGGCATCTGCACGTGCCATCCAACTTTGGGGTGTAAGAAAGATAATTTATCTTTATTTGTTCAGAGGTCATTTTAGTGTGTAATATAAAAAATGTGTTGGATATGAGAACACATTCACCAAAAACACATTCTGAGACCAAACTGTGGCAATAAATTTACTGTTAACCAGCACAGATGAAACTACATTTACTGTTAAGATGATTTTTTTTTTAACCATGGTGTTTTGACCGGTGTATCCAACACCAAAGCTCATTTACAATTCTTCAGTGCAACAAAATATTCATCCAGAATAATAAAGGAAACATATCGCCAGAAGGCCTATAGGCACTGCATGTTTAATATGAATGACGAACACAGGGCCCAATTAAAATAACACAACCTATAGCAAATGTATCTTTTTAATTTTACATTTTTAATGACATTTCATTTTACATTGTTTTCCAGCTCACTACAGGACGCCAGCAGTTAACGGTGAATTTAGCATTTCCATTTTTTTCCCAAAGATTTAAAAGTGATTGCATATATAATCTCCCAGACTTGAGGCATGTGGTGTCCAATCAGCAGAAGCCTGAAGGAATATCACAAGAAATCCAGGAGGGATGCTCTTTACGCACCAACGTTGGTGTCGCTACAGTTTAGTGGCCAAAAACTCTTAAAGGGGCCTCAATCATATTTTCACTTGCCGTTCATTCCCCACGATCCCAGCACCCCGCCTTCCCTGCTGCACGTGCGCTCCCGAAAAAAACACAGGCGTGTAATTTTTAATTATTCAGTAGTTTATTTATTATAAGTATTATCGTTGTCATCAGTGTGGCCGACCACAGGACAGAAAAGGGAAACAGTGTGCAGTACATGTATGTACATTTTAAATAAATAATAATAAATAAATATAAAGTAAATTATAATTCTAATTATAATAATAATTATAATATAGTAATATAATTAAATTACATTTATTTTATATTGTTCCTGAGTGTCACGAAATTATTAATTATCACTGCTGATCATCAGCTTTGATCAATGTTTTGTGTGTCTACCAAAATTATGTTCTACATTTTTACTTTCATTGCAATACCACTTGTCTATATGTTCATGTTTATATCCATTTTACAACAGTTGCTGCTACCTAAGTGATATATAAATTGAAGAATTAAATCACATAATCACCAATACTCAAATGACTTAATCAGAAAAATACTTTATTAAATCTATTGGAAATGTTGTGAGTGCTAAGTAAAATTCAACATGGCTGCAGGTTTCTTTAAACTGAGTTACCAGTAAAATATAGGCTAGTCCTCGCTGAGTTGCAGGAGGTGACAAGCACTGTCTTTTACTGTTCATAAACCTACTCATGCCCTGATCGCCCATTTACCGCTAATTAGGGAGCTGAGGAATTCCTTCTCTACCTGCTTGTGAAGGCTTTGGAACATTATCAAGACATCAGCAGACTTAAATGAGGCTGCGCTGGCTGGAAGAGAGCAGAGACACAGAGATACAGAGACACAGAGAGGGGAGGGGGGGAGAGAAGAGGGGAGGGAGGGTGAAGAAGAGAAAGTGGGAGACACTGTAGCAGTGCAAAGCAATGAGCAAATTAGGATTGTGTTGCCCCCATTGATCATACATCAGATTCACACTATTGGGTAGCATGTCAAATATTAGAAGTGAATTGTGTTAGCCCCCTGTAGTCTGGTGTCAAGGTCTGGTGTAAAGGTCTGAGGGGGGTCGGAGCAACCGCTGCCTGCCTGGACAAAAGTCCTCACTCCAAACAAATGCCACAACACTGTTTAAAACCAGTTCTCTCTGCCACATTAATCCCTCATGTGTGTAGGGATGGGTGATCCTAAATGATCTCAGCTTCTGGACATTTGCCAAGACTTTATTTTCCCACTTATGAGATGAATAAAAAAAACTAAATCATTTAATTAGTTAAAATTGGGCCCTGAAGAGACCTTTTCTAACTAATAATGGCATAATTATATATAACAAATTATGTGTAAAAGAGAGATAAAAAGCTGTGTTTTTACATGCACCCATCCTCATCTTTCTGCAACATGCTTCAATAAAATCATAATATATGACAGATGTGATTGTCTAAATGTTATACTTGGCCCCTAGGGAGCAGAGTGAGTTTTGGAAATTGAACTTAAAAAGCCACGACTGCACCTCTAACTTTTAATATAATTTCCATGAACGTAAAGCGTCTTTTAGAGCAGCGCTCATCTCCAAATATCATCATCTCATACTATAGGGACAGGGCAGCAGTGAAAAAAAAATGCAATAAAATGGTATACTTGAATCTGATTCAGCAATGCAGAGGTGCTGTACAGATGTGGTCCTGTGTGCAGAAAGAGAAAAATTGGATTCTTCCCCTGGTAGATAAATTTAAACCTTTCCTGCAAGGAAGAGGAGGATTTTAACTTGCATTCATGTTAATGACAGTGATTGTGTGTTTGTGTTTGTTTATTAGACTCCTCTGGCTTGTCTGCGGGGTGCTGGGATCTCGTGGTTGCTACATTGTCTGGTGCCTTCATTTAGGTCCTTTTCCAGTGCTGCAGCGGTCCACGGAGACTACAGGCTGTTCTGTGTTCAAAAGCCTTGTCTGCCATCTAAATGAGGCTTTCGGGGCAAAAAAAAAGAAAGAAAGAAAGAAAGAAAAAATTCAACATGAAAATACCACAATGTGCTGAACATTAGCTCACACTCGACTGAGATGTTTTGGGAATATGTTGGTTCTCCTTTTTGGATTGTTATTTTTCCCTGTGTATTCTCTAACTGCTATCTACCCACAGGGCACCAGGGCCTCTTGTTGAGCAAAAGAAAAGGCATGAAATTGACATTATATCCTTAAATGCAGTGCAGATTTGCAGGGAAAACACAGTAATCCGCTGACAATGCTTGAAAATCAAACAAATACTCCTTCGCTCTCCCTCTCTCTCCTTAACAAGCTGCAGTTTGCACTTAAGGTTAAATCTACTCATTAATTACTTGCGTCTCCTTAAAATCCATTCCTTTCATTTATGGCAAAAAAGAGAGTATTTTCCTCAAGTTCCTTATAAGGATACTATTGTTCTTAAGGTCAAATACTCTGGGGAAATGCAACAATTTATACAAATCAATAGCTTCCAAATAATTCATGACTGATCACATGGTGTTTTAGCTCCTTATTTGCAGTAGAAAACCATGTTTTGTTTGGCTCCCAGAGGGCAACATGAAAGACCTGGGGAGAGGCGGGGAGAAATGGAACTGAAGAGAGTGCATGAGGATAATAGGAGGACATTGATCATTTGGTGCAAAAGAAGACAACTGAACCTGTGAGTCAAGACTAACAAGATGTATCATTTATACATTATTTAGACGCATCTGGGCTTCTCGTGTACATTCTGTTGCATCAGGTTTGCATCATCGCCTATGGAGGGGACATAGCATGGTGACCTGAAATGATAAAATGAAGAAAATGCTACTTATGTAATTGTCTAATTTTTTATTGTTCTTCCACCGGCAGAGAAGAAGAGGAAACAACAGCCAGCATAGTCTGATGCTGATTTCAGTTAGATGCTTCAGT